TTTAATTAGTTTTAGATTAGTTGCAAGTAGCTCTTGTTGTTGAAAAATTACACCAGGAAATACTTAAATATGTGAATAAACTAATAAGAGGAAATAAAGTATCGTTTTTCTTTCGTTACATATATGTATGTATATTCACTGAACATACCATGTACATTCCCAGAACATTCCATGAACATTCAGTGTATTAACTCTGACAGATTCCTGGGACATCCATGGAATGTTCATAAAGGAACTCATGTATGTCCCAGGAATATACATGTACATCACATGAATGTTCCAGGTACATTCTGGAAATATCATTTTGCTATGTGGGCAGTTGAGTGCGTCCTGGACTTGTCCAGGACTTAGCTCTAGCCAGACTGTTTTACCTGCTGGTTTGAGTAGTCGAACTGAAGAAAGGCATCTTCGCGCGTAAGAGTGTCTCCAAGCTCTCGCTTGATGAAGAAGGACTTGAATCCTAAAGGTGGCAAAGCCTCAGCTTGGAAAACCAACTCAACAGAAGCACTGCTATTTCGGCCAATTATTCCCTGGACGCCTGCTGCTATCGGCACTAGCTGGCTTGCGACGTTTTGCCCTAATTTCCGTTAAAATTGCTCAGCTGAACTACTGGGTTTCAGCACTCCTCACCTTCAGGATCAGTGACGCTGTAGGCCGAGCCCATCACCGGCACTCTAATATACTTATTCACCTTGCGGCTCAGCGGATTGTAGACGGTGATGGTCAACCTTTCGGCTTGTTCACTCAAAGCGCACTCGCTGATGTTGAGCAGTTGGCATCGTTGGAAGTCTCCAGCATCAATTTTGGAGAACTTTCTAAAAAACCCTGGCTTAGAAAGGAAATTGAAAAAAGTGAAACTTACGACAAGGCCTGGAAAGTTACGTCTTCACACTGGGTGATTCCCATGTGCAACAATCGGGCATAATCCGAAGCGACCACTTGTTTCTCCGTGCCGGTTATTGCGTCATGGTGCTGCATCACTCCCATAGCTTCTCTGAGTCGGTTGAGTTTGGGCTCGAGCTCAGAGGGCAGATTCGCCAGGGAAAACAGCTGCTTGCACGCCTGAAGCAGCCGGAAGTTGCAAAACCAGCAAACGGAAAACCGGCAGGAGCTTCACCTGCAGGAAACCGTTTGCTTCGCGCTCGAATCGCTTCAAAGTGGGCCTGGAAGTGTAGAATCCAGTCCAGAACGAATGCGAATCGCTGGCGTATGGCAGGAAGTCGTCGGTTTTCAGAGGCGCCGAAATGAGCCCTGCTGACTCCTGCTGAACTGCCGCAGCATAGCAGGAGGGCGTGGAGTAGAACAAGTGGTACTTGGTGTGGTTGAAAACCTCCTTTTCGTTCACGTACCTATGCGAGTGGTGCTTTTTGGGGTCTTTGCCCGAAACTTTCGCATCATTCACTCACTTAATTAGTCTGTCAATGTTCGCAAACCAGGCTTCGGCTTGTTGATAGGCAAAGTCCCTGCCCATCGGAACCATAATGTTGCTGGTTTGGAAACTTCCAACTCTACTTTGCACGTGCTTCAGTATAAACTCCTCAGCCTGCAACTCCGGAACCCACACCTTTGAGTCAGACACCCCCAAAAATCATACCTTAGCCTCAATGTTGTAGTGAGGACTCTCAAGATCATCAATCAGAGGATCATCGTCGCAGAGAATATCGAAGCAAAACCCCCTGGGGGCGTCATAATGATCATATAGAACACTGCTGAAAATATCCGTGGATGTTCCTAAAGAAGCATGTTGGGTAGTTGAATTGGGTTAAAAAATGAAGCTGATTTTTGCACCTAAGTTGGTGCTGCCGCGCCAAACCATCTCCATGGTCCGATTGGCGATCCGGTTTGCTTGATCTTCATAGTCGATGCGGCCGAGGATAATTCCATCGTAACCAAGTCGGGCGAAAATTGAGGCCATTTCGCTACTGTGCCCGAATGGGTCGATTTGCCAGCCCATTTTCGGCCGCCCACATTCTCCAAATGTATCGTTCAGTCGCCTGAAATGCACAAGTTTGCAATGAAATTGGGCGAAATCGAACATTCTGCTTACTTCAGCCCCCACGACATTTGATCAATAATTGATTGGTAATTTGTTACAGCTTCATCGTTCATCGACCAACCGCCCCCAGTAAACTCGATTTGGCCGTTGTTTATCAACTCCCTAAGAACTTGGCGGTCGGATTCTTCCTGGTCTTGCCACCATTTCCAAAAGAATGCTGTCTCCACGTAGATGAATCTGAAATTGTCCCAACTTGACCGGTAAGTGTTAATAATTTTCCTCTTAACTATGTGATTCTATGCGGAATTCTCTCTGGAAAAGTGGTGTATTTTTATAGTGATTGAATGGAACTGACAAATATTCAATGTGGGACTAACCTTCTGTCCTTTCTTCTTCGAACTGCTGACAGTACGTTGTCGTAAATATAAATGACTCCGGCACTGTAGACCAAAGATTTTGCTGAAACAATTGTTAATTTTTTATACAACGGCTTGACACGCGTTTTTAGTTTGGGTTCGTTTTTGAGCGTTTTTTGGTTGCCTCGCTCTGCTCGAATACGATCTCAAACATCCGGAAGCTTCTCGCGTCGAGAACTCACTGCTCTCATAAAACGCACATGTGAAAATTTTTTGCTCCGGAAAAGCTGCCTTCTGATCACTTTTGGAAAAATCTGAAATCGCACTAAATGCCTTAAACTACGCACTATTTTCATCAGGAAATAGTGCGAAACCCAATCAGCGCACAGATAAATCTGCTACCAGTTTTGAGCGGTTTTTTAGCATTTCCAATGTTCAATTGCCTCTTTCTGCCTTAACATGGTCCCAAACACCCC